CAATCTCCACTTATCAGTAAACTTCTTCGCCGCGTCATTTTGCAATTGCAGTCCCTCAGGGGTGTCCTACATACCGACAAAACCATCCGCAAACAGCATTCCTGAAACCGACGTTTCCGTGTCCCCTACTTTTACTCCCTTCCGGACTGCCTCTACGACTTCCAACAGATCGTTGATGAACACCTGGAACAATGTTGGGGACAGCGTGCAACCTTGTGGGACCCCCTGCTCAATGTCGAAGAATTTTGACAGTTCTCCGTCTAGCATGACCGCGCTTTTCGTGCACTCTGTCATCTTCTTCAGCACTCTCCACATTTTCCCCTTGATCCCGTATTTGGACAGTTGTTTCCACAACCCATTTCTAATAACGGTGTCGTATGCCTTTTTCGCGTCCAGGAAGGAGCAGTACGTCGGCTTTCCCGCCCTCTTTCTACCTTGGATGATTCTCCCTACCGTGAACACGTGGTCTACGCACCCCCTCTTCTTGCGGAAACCTGCCTGGCCCTCACTAATGCTATGTTCCTTCTCCAATACTCCCACTATCCTATCGTTCAGCAGCTTACAGAACACTTTTACTACTGTGGGCGCCATCCGCAACTGATGCGCATTCGCGTGGCGCAGCTGAAAAAATGAGATTTTTCAAAGCCGTTTTTTCATCGCTTTCAGAACCATCCAAAGGACGCCTAAAAAACAGTACAAAATATAATTGGTTCGGGATGTGGAGAACACCTTCATAAAGGTTGACACTCCCCAACGTCTGTCGAGGACGAAACCCTGTTTTCCACAATGGCGTCGACGGACAGATGTCATGTGTCTGCTTTTTTTGGTTGCAAAAGACACGGGTTCAAAACCCGCTGCTCACCTAATTTTCTTCCGGAGTAATACGGAAAAAGAAAAACGGTGGGTGGGCCAAGAAACGATGCACTGCTGTCTATCGAACTCGAAACTTCTGGCAATGCGTGGCGGAAGTGGCGCACCCGCACACACGCACAGCAGATTGTTGGAAAAAAAGGTGGTTCTACTCGCCGCCAGCCGGTTGGGTTCCGGTTACCCCAAGAAGTCTTTTCTTGCCTCCTAGCAAACAAGAAGAAGCCTCGAAAAAGGGGGGGGGTAATGTGGAGAACACCTTCATAAAGGTTGAAACTCCCCAACGTCTATCGAGGACGAAACCCTCTTTTCCACAGTGGCGTCGACGAAGAGATGTCATGTACGTACATCGAAGCACGCCCCGTGAATCAGACTTGCTTGACTTGCTTTCAACGCGTGTGTTGCGGGAAAATGACAGAAAAAAATGATGTTGACAAACTTTGAAAAACAACGCAAGAGTACCATGGAGCACCTTCGTTCATGGGTTCACGGTCCGTTGGCGGCAAGTACGGCTGTGACAAATTTTGGATTCCGATTGGTTTAGGCCGGTGATAGATTTCGGACTGTTTTCAGAGGCTGCTGCGACCTTCGACATTTCAGCTCCAGTAGCAAACCTGAACGTGCCAGCACGCACTGCTGTGCCTCTTCACGTTTTTTTTTGTTTTTTGTTTTGTTTCTCTCCCATCATTGGACTCTGCCGTCTGCCCCTCTGGCCCCTATCCTCCACTTCTACTGGCTAGACGACCCAACCGGGGTCACATAGGAGGTGGGGGTTGGACCCCCCTCCTGCGGTTCATGCCTGAGGTATTTTTATCGCGAGAAGGGTAGAGCAATCCCTTCCCTCGCGACTTACGAAGTCGATTATGGTCTACGAACAAACGAGCTTTGCAGCACGTCGCTTTCATCGTACACCAGGATTTACTTAGTGAGAAAAAAACTCTCCCTGCCGGGACTCGAACCCATGACCTGGCCCTTAGCAGGCTGCGAGGCTACCCACTAGACCACCGGGGCGATGTCCTCTACTGATGACAGTAGGACGCACCAGGTTCCTCCGGGGGGAAGGTTGATTTTTTTCTTTGCATTGGACTAATGTATCAACATAGAGCCAGCGTCAACACCGGTTCTCCAACCCCTTACATGGGCATACACTCGTCGCATGTACGTGGAGGACGACGGCGACGGGTCAAAGTACCCAGAAGACCGGGCAATTTGGACAGAAGTCAAGCTGCTGCATGCTCACAAAGCAGTTAGTTCACAGTGAAACCTCTCATAGATTCGTTTTCTGGTTGCCTGGTGCTGCTGCTGCTGCTGTCAAGGCATGAGAGGCCACTCAATACACCGCACCGGTAGGCTCTGGCACTGTTGACCAAGGTTGCTTGTGGCGTGCTGTGGTTGCCGGAAAAAAGATTGCTACTAAAGGCCTTCCTTGTTTATGGTTTCCAAATCTTTATCTTCCTTTCTTTCGACAAACGTTGACTTTTTCGACCTTTTGGGCAGTCTGCCTCCCGGACGAGTTCGAATCAGCTGTTCGACCTTTGAGAACAGTCACAGCTTTGGCTGAGATGTCTACAGATCGCCT